AGGGTGTTATTGTCATAATGAAATCACCAACCAAAGTCCTGGGAATTTCAGGCCTGTGCCCCATTCCCAGCAATCTGTTCCAAGCCATATTTTCAGACCAACCTTGCAATGGGGCTCTCTTAACTTGTGGCTTTCATCCATAGGAGGAGAATCCTGCTTTAAAGAAACCATCCCTGTGAGCCAACTAGATGAGTGTGGCTTGAAGCTGACAGCTTCATAGTTTACCTTATGAGTTCTCAGTTCTTCTCAACTGATTTAATGCATTGCTTTATCATTCTGTAATATTCACAAGACACGGTGTTAGAACACTTTAAATCATGTGAAATAGAGAACTGGAATTCAACAGCAAGCACCTTGGGGACGTAAGTGGTATATTAACTTTCCTGGGTGTGATAAGAGGAGATTTCTACAGGAAATTTGATGATTGCATCCTTTAGGTATCACCTGGGGTTGGCCTGTTTCCTGCCTCCCCTGCAGTGGGCTCCAGAGTTTCTTCCAATTTCTCTCCCCTTTCCCAGCTCCTTCTGCCCAAGCTGGCTTTAATATGGATTTCCCCACCCCACCCTGCCATTTTCTTGCCCTGGATCATCTATCCTCCAGTGTCAATCTATGATTCTTTCCATAAGGATCATGTAGGGAAGAAGCAGCTGGGAGACAGTCTGGACGGGAAGCTCCCAGGGTCTCAAAGCTGTCCGACTTCCCTGGAGCTCTGTCCTGTCCCTGAGAATTCCTTCTTGGTGGCTCCGTGATGTGACCCAGAGGTGACTCTCAAGGCTATGTTTTCCAAACTTCGTTCCATAGATAACAATTTGGGGAGAAGTTTCTTAGAGACGTGGTGTCATGTCAGAAGAATTGGGGAAATTCTTCTTGTCTCCTCTTGGAGACAACCCTTGTATAGTAGCAAAGCAAAACTTTTGAGAAGTCCTGTGGTCCAATGTCTTGTGGAATTTGGTCCACCCTAAAACCTGTTTGAACACAGTCTCAGTCTATGGAGACTGGATATTTTATAAAGTAAGGGGGTTTATTTATCTCATAATTTGGATGATCAATGAGCTACCTCTAGTCAACCTCTGGTAAGGGTCCTCCTGGCTATATCTCAATATGGTGATGTATCATGTACTAAAGTTAGAAAATCATACAATAAAATGAGGAACCAGAGAACAGAAAAGAGCCAGTCTTTCTCTTGTTCTAACAGCTTCCTCTGGTGAGAACTAATTCCTCTAGATTAACATTTATCCCTCCAGTGGGAAGTTCCGCCATCAACCTAATTACCTCCCATTAGGCTCCACCTCTTAAAGGTTCTATCACTTTAACACTGCCACTCTGAGGATCAAGCCTTCAGCACACAAATCTTTGGGAAGCAAAACCATGTCCAAACCATAGCAAGGACCAGAACTTTGTATTTTTGTAGAGATACTAATTTGAGGCCACCCTGAATTGTCTGTGGGAGTTGGTTCTGGAAGTGTCTTGGTCCTGAGATGAGGATTGTTATTCCTCTCTCTCTTTCTTGGCCTCACTTAGGAAAAGCCAAATTAGGTGGTTCTGAGGCCCTTCAGGAGGTGTTTTTCTCTATACCAGAGCATTGTCAGCTGTTTGTGCTTTCTTTGGAAGCAAATGGAAATGAGTCAAGGGGGGCAGCCCATTTATGGTCTGAACATTGCATTCTTGGGGTCTGGTCAAAGGAATACGTCAGCCCAAGCAGGACCTTCCTTAGAGGAAAGGATGGCACTGGTTTCTGTATTTGAGAAGCAAGTCATCCTTATCAAGGCATCTGTCACCTACTCCAGTTCTCCCCAAATGCCAACCCCCCTCACCTTATATTGAATGAAATGTGCCCTCTGATTTCTGAAATGCAGACTTTTTCTGTTTATTTAAGAGAGCTTTTAGCCAGCTGCTGTTGACTTAAGCCCGTAATCCTAGCTACTCAGGAGGCTGAGATCTGAAGATCGCAATTCAAAGCCAGCCCAGGCAGGAAAGTGTGTGAGACTATAATATCCATTTTAACCACAGAAAATCAGAAGTGGTGCTGTGGCTCATAGTGGTAGAGTGCTAGCCTTGAGCAAAATTGCTCAGGAACAGTGCCCAGGCCCTAAGTTCAAGCTCCACAACTGACAAGAAAGAGGGGGAGGGGGGAGAGAGAGAGAGAGAGAACTTTGGTTTTAGTTTGTTTTCCATTGGTTTCATTGTTTTTTCTACCATGAAAAATTCCATCATCATGTCACAGCTGAGACCTGAGATTTGTGTTGGTGTGTTTGTTTGTTCATTTGCACAGGGGTCTCAGAAAAAAAAAAATGCTGTGCAGAGGGAATGCCAATTCTGTAGGTGTGCCAGGGTGGCTGTAACAAAGTACTACAAACTGAGTGGCTGAAGCAACAGGAATGTTCTGGAATAGGAATGCCAGTTCTGGATCAAAGTGTCAGCAGAATGGGTTTCTTCTGTGGACTGTGAGGGAGAATCAGTTTTAGCCTTCTCTCCCAGCTCCAGCTGGCAATCTTTGGTGTATAGAAATTTCACCCTGCTCTCTGCCTGCCCTTTCTGTCTGCCTTGTCCCAGTGTTCTCTGTGCGTGCCTAAGTCCGAATTTCCCCTTTCTAACAAGGACACCAGTCATACTGCATCATCATCATCATTGGATTAGTATCATTGTGCTCCAGGATGACCTCATCTAAACTTAATTATATTTGCAATGATTCTGCAAAGGCTGCATTTCCAAGGAAGATCCTATTCTTACTGGGGGTTAGGACTTTCTTATATGTGTTTTGGGGAGTCACAAGTCACCTATCACACTGATTTGAGGTGGTGTGGCACTACATTTCCTTTTGCAGTGTTTAGGGAAAAGAGCTTCTATCTCACCTGTTTGTCCAGATGATGGCTCAGCTCATGTAGATGGGTGCATAGTTGGGAAGAGATTCACACCCAGAGCTTATAATAGCCATTCAGCAAACTCACAGTTTCCAAAAGAAAGGTGCCAGTGGTTCATGCCTATAATCCTTGCTATTCAGGAGGCTTAGACTTGGAGTATCACAATTTGAAGCTAGCCCAGGAAGAAAAGTCTACAAGACTGTATTTCAATTAACCAGCCATGGCTAGAGGGATGGCTCAAATGGTGGAGCACCAGTCCTAGACAAATAATCCAAGTAAGTACAAGACCCTTGAGGACCAATCCCAGTACCAGGAGAAAAACCAGACCAAACCTGGAACCTCCTCAGGACTTATTCAATACCAAAGGCAAGTAGAAAACTGGGATTAGAAGAAGCTTCCTGCTGTAGGCACAGCCCTGGAGTCTCAGCGTAGCCCATGGAGAAGCCACAACAGGATGAAGGTAGCAGCCATACAGAGAGGTGTGGCCACTGCTGGGCCATGATGACCCTCAGGTTAGGTAAGAGGCTGTGTGGCATAATGGGGAGCTTCTGTAGGGTCATATGAAACCCTAGGCCATACCTCAGTTTCTTCATTGATAAAATGGCTCTAATTAAAAGACCCAACTTGTAGGCTATATCAAGATACAGGAACAAAATGTGATGGTCATGGGAAGTAGCAGACACAGACAGAGTCTACACATGGGTGTGGGTGTTTCTGGTGACATGGACAATGAACAGTAGAGAAAGCAGCCTACAAGTAGCAGCTGTGGAATCCGGTTCCCTTGATACCCGTGGGCAAATCACTAGCTTCCTTTATCCTTTAGCGTGAAGGAGTTCAAGCTAGACAATGTCTTTCTGGCAATAGTATCTTTGACAGACATCATCTAGAGCAGTGTAGACTCAAAGGGCCACATACTTGTGTTCAAATTGTTAACCTGCCACTTCCTAGCAGTGTGAATTGGGTAAGTCACTTAATTTCTCAAAGCCCAGTATCCTTATCTGTAAAATGAGGATAATGATAAAGACATACTGCAGAGGTAAACTTGAAAAATCCTTATAAAGTGCTTAGCCTGTGGCTTGGCATTTGCTAGTACGAGTTAGCTATTTCTTTAAGTCTACCTTCTGTCTGGATTGAATGAGATGTGGTAGGTGACACCCTCCATGCAGTAGGCTTTCTGTTACCCCTTTATTTCATCTCCTCCTCACTGAAAAAGTAGACCGGGTTGGGGGAGGGGAAGGTTCTCAGCAGTCATGATTCCCACTGAGACATTGGGTGGAGGGATGTCCAGGAGAGAAGTTCAACTACTTGAATAAAATTGTTTTCAAATATTCATAATAATCACCCATGTTCTCCAAATGAATAGCCATGTGCATTACAATCAACAATTCATTAAATCACATGACCTAAGACTTTCACATTGTTTAGGATTATTTTTTCTTTTTTAAAAAATGTTATTTTATTGTAAAGATGCTGAACAGAGGGGTTACAGTTACATGAGTAAGACAACGAGTCCGTTACTTGTCATTCGTAGTTACCCCTTCCCTTGCTGTTGTATCACTATCCCTTCCCTCCCCCAGCTCTCACACTCCCCCCCTCCCCCTACACCACCCCCAGGTTGTAAAGTTCATTTCCAATGCACTGTCCTATGGGTATCATTGTTGCAATGGGTCATCCTGTGTCCTTGTTTCAGTGTTTTGTTATTCCCCTTGCCCTCCCCAGATTAGACAAATGTATATAGAAGATGCAGGATATCAAAATCAAGTACAGTGACAACAGGGGATATACCATAGGGGGAAGAACATACAAAGGAAACACAAAAAATTAAATAGTACATTTAAAACAATAACAAAGGCAGAACTCTTGTGTCCATATCTTAGGGTTCATTTCACTTAGGATCATCTTATATGAACATATGTACATAGCTTTTGAACTTTTCAGCTCATCTGATAAGATTATCCTATATGTATACTAATAGGACCTATTTATTTATTTATTTATTTATTTATTGTTGGTCATGGGGCTTGAACTCTGGGCTTGGGCACTGTCCCTGTGTTCTTCAGCTCAAGGCGAGCGCTGTACTGCTTGAGCCACAGCGCCACTGGGACCTAATTTTTTGAAAGGTCTTTCTAAGATTCTTTCCCCTTTCTGATCAGCACTGAAACTCAGAAGATAAAGAGAAGTCCTTCCATCATGTCCTACAGACGAGAGCTAGAGAAATACCGTGACCTGGATGAGGATGAGATTCTGGGAGCCCTCACTGAAGAGGAGCTCAGGACCCTGGAAAATGAGCTGGATGAGCTGGATCCTGATGTGAGTAGCCTGGGGAGCACTGGGGGAGGGGCAGGTATGTACTTCCTGAAGCCACCATTGCTGTTTTCTTATATGGAAGCCACATTGGAATGATGTTACCATGGCAGAGGTTCTCCAGCAAAATGAGGGAGGGGAAGGGAGGGATTGTGGCAGGGCAGGGGCGGTGTGGGGGGGGGGGAGTTAGATTATAAGCAGTTGGCTCAAAACATTTGGGAGGGTGATAAATCTTGATCTACAAACCATCAGAATGAATGATACTGCTCCAGTCTAAACACTGGTAGGCTGAAGACCTAGAAAGAGCCAATGTTCTAATGTGAGCCCAAAGGCAGAAGGAAACAATGTCAGTTAGGCAGGAGGAAATCTCCCCTTCCCCCTCTCTTTGGAGGGTCAGCTTTTCTGTTCTATTTAGGCCTTCAACAGATTGGAGGGGCCCACCCACAACAGAGAGGCCATCTGCCTCACTTATTCTACAGATGCAAATGCTCATCTCATCCAGAAACGCCCTCACAGATACAACCAGAATAGCATTTGACCAAAGGGCTGAGGACCTGTGGCCCAGGCAACTCATAAAATCAACCAGCACAAATCCACCTCTTTGACAGCCTGGCACCCATGAGCATTTCTTCAAACCGCCATCCATTTTCAAATAAAGACAGTAATAGGACATAACAAGATATAACCAATCTGTGCACAAGGGACAACCTACCCTCCCTTCCCCAGGAGAGGAGATGAAAACTTTGAGTGCTGTTTACTCCGTTTCTTGATATCATATAACTTAAACACTGTGATGGAAAATTAACAAACTTAAATCCTATGATAAAAAGCCAACACAAGCTTATATTACTTGAGGAGATAATAAGAGAGAAGAAAAACCACAGATATTTGTTATATATAAGTGTGTCCATAAAACAAGGAAGAAATATTCATGACAATTACAGTTCCTCTCATTGGTCAGGTAGAAGTAGCTGCTATATATCATCATTCATTCATTCTGTACTTCCTTGCCTTCAGCAAGTGTCTTAGCTGATTCTGGAGGTCCTTTATCTGATGGAGTGACCCACACCTTCATCCTAAAGGGTCTGGGGCATTAATAGTCCTATCTGAGTTGGACTGCTGCAGTTTTCTATTGACCTTAGTCACCAGAAAGGACCTCTTATCTTCCACATTTGTTTCTCTACCTCTGCTGTAGAATAGTAGTCCAACCGGCCTCTGATAGTCAGACTCTGTCACCCCAGCCAGCTCTGTAACCCTCTTCTGTGTCTGTTGATTCTGAGGCACAAAGAACTCAGTGGCCAGGTAGCAGTGTTAACTTCCTCCTGTTTCATGGGGTCATTGTGACTCCTGTGAAAGAGAGCATTGCTCCTTTGGAACTGAGATGGCTACACAACCGAAGCATAATGTCAAGTGAACAGGAAGTAGAAATGTGGCTAGTGGGTCACTGAGGGTAATAGTGAAGGCTGCCATTCATGTTTCTAATCTTAGTTTCTGGGCCTGTGTGTCTTGGCTCTGGGAGAAATAGCATCCTATGTGGGTCCCTGGTTGCAAGCGTACACAGCCTTTTAGAGAACCTTGGTCTAGCCCTGCCTAGTACTTCTACTTTGCTGGTGATGTAACTGTGTCATCAAAAGGCCACTTCACTGTTCCAGCAAGCCCTGTGTTTCTGCTGAGAAAAATAGGATAAGAAGAATCCTTTGTTGAAAAACATCACTTGGTTGATGTTTTATCATCAGGTCTCATAGTTGGCATATCTAAGAAGTTTGATGTTTAGAGTTTACCTCTGCAGTCAGGATCCCCAGAGTTGAGAGGCAGAGAGGGCTCTTTGGTCATGTGTTGTTGGACAAGCCACACTGTAGCAGAGAGCAGGGCAAAGGGAGAAATTCCTAGGCCATATATATCCTAGGCCACTCATATCCTATGACTATATCCCAGGTACCTTCTATGTCTAGCACAGAGAAGTCAAATAATAAATGCAGTTTCATTCAATGCATTTTCACTTGGTATGTTTGTAATTAAAGATGGAATGTTTCATACCTTTTCTTTTAACCAGTCATTGTTCAACTCTTGCTTAACAGTGAAGGAAGTGAACAAGGAAGAGAAAGCTTTTATAGCATCTCACACACACGTACTTGCTGTGATGGTATAGGGAGCACAGATCAGCAGGGAAATGTAAAACTGGAGGTTAAATGTCCTACTTCCAGGCCTGGCCTTGTCCCTCACACTCATGTGACTCTAAGCTAGTTGTCCTTCCTTAGGTCCCCATGTTCTATCCATGAGACGATGGAAATGCTTGGTCCCTTTCAAGGCTGAGCTTCCATGTCCTTACAACCTGCGCTTATCTGTAGACCTGACATGTTGGCTTCTTTCCAGATTGCTCAGAATCTGTGTTTAGGTGCCAGGTTTCAGGCCCCATGGAATGACAGAAGCTTCTGGCAGGGTGTCCTTATCTTCCTATTCATAGCTGTCTCTTGCCTAGCCATGTAGACACAGTCCCTGATGAGGCTGCTCAAGTTGATTGGATGACAGCCATGGTGGCCAGAGCCTTGGGTCCCTCCTCCTGCTGCTGCCTCGTCTCCTGCATTTGATGGCTTTTCAGGGAAAACTAGCAAAGGAGACAAGGAACAAAGCCTCCGCTCTGCTGCAGCAAAATTATTCTGTTCCAATTCTATCCCAGATCATTGTCACATGGAAGCACAAAAACAGCTTTTAAAAGGATGCACACGGGGGATGCAGCTGCCTCCAGTTAACCTGGTAGATGGGAGGTAATTACCTGCCAAGTCCTGGGCCTGTGCTGGTCCCCAACAGGAGAGCTTGGCAGGGATCCTGCCCCTCAGGAGCTTGAGATACAGGTCATGGTCATGGGTGTAATAAAGCATGTCCTAAACAAGGCAGACAGGGTGCTGAGAGAGGATTACTTCTGACTGGTGGGAGGCTCAACAGAGCAGGTGATGTTGGAACTGGGCCCTCAATTTCTCTAAGTCAAGAATAAAAACAAAGAACTATAGGAGAGTGAAGGGATCCAGCACCAGTCTCTGTGTGGGAGGGAACTTGGGATGAGGAGTCTCCTGTGATTTCTGTGGGAAGGCAGATATGAATAGAAATGGGACGGGGGATAGAAACCAGGATGGGGGCAGCCAGGCCCACAAGAGTTTGAGCTTTTCTCAGTGGCCTTGCAGAGGCCTTGAGGAGCACTGACTCAGTGTGACCTAATAGTCTGGGGAGCGACCCTGGCACCCAGAGGGTGGAGCCTGCAGGAGGAGAGGTGAGAGGTGAGTGGTCAACTGTGGGAGACTCATGCCCAGCCCAGCTGGAGGTGGGCAACTGCTTTTCCTGAAGATGGGAAAGGACCCTGCCTTGCTCTACAAGCCTTCCAGCCTTACTGCACAGCCTTGCTGTGACGAATGAGGCAGGGAGTGAATATCCCTCTACCCAATCCCACCCCATTCCCAGCTGGTCTTTTTGTCTTGTTAGAGTTTCCTTAGGCTGATGTGTATGAGGTCAGATAATGCCATGGTTGTAAACAGGGAAAGTGATGACAAGGATCAAAACCCAGGATCAGCCCAGGATATAAGAACATCTCACCTCAGGTCTGAGCTGAGGCCCCGACTGGGAGCTCTAACTTTACCCCTAAAGTGACCAAGAGCTCCCAAGGACTCCTACTCCAAATACCAGGCTAGCTGCATCTCAGCAAAATGCCCAGGGTCTAAGTGCCTCTTACATGGTCAGTGTGGACTCAGGAGACTGGCAGGAAGAGGCCTTCCTGCTGGGAGGGACAGGGCACAAGAGGCTCAGATTTCTGTCCTGTTTGCCAAGTTACACGTGTGACCAGGCAGCAAGAGTCAAGTTGCAAATGGGCAGGGGAAAAGCCATTGAGTATATGGATCCAGGAGGAGGTATCTGAGACCTGCGATGCTCAACTACTATGGTTTCAAAAGTGACATTTTCAAAGACCCCTTTCTCGCTCCGTTCAAGGAAAAGAAAAGGGAAATGGGAAACCACAGAGGAAAGGAGATAATGGAGACTAATGGCGTTTCTGTCCCAGCCACACAATTGGCTCCTTCACTGAGATTAGTTCTGTTCCCAGATTGGCAAGACACTGTAGTGAGTGAAAGGCAGACTGGGCCCCCCTTCTTTCTGAGAACACAACATCTAGCTCCAGTTTCACCTGAGGCCTGGGCCCACCTTTGAAATCACAGCTCTGGGAGTGCCCAAAGGTATGCAGACCAGGACGGGAGCAGTAGGGGGTTGGTGGAGGGTGAGGTATCCAAAACATGTATCAGCCACACAGACAGAACCAGAGCAGAACCCAGGTGCCCAGGTTCTGCCCCCCTGTAGTTCTCCACACTCCATCTGTGTTTATTTCTGTGTCACAAGTGCAGAAGTGGCACTATGTATAATCACTCTTCTAAGCAAATTGGGAGTAAAACTCACTTAACCTTCCCTGGGGGCCTGAGAGGTAGATAACTTGTCTGAGGTTGCACAATTATTAGAGTGTGGAGTCATGTCATAGTCCCATCCAGGCTGCTCTAAGGCTTTCTGACAGTCTTCAGGAAGAGGATTTGGAATCATTGATATGCTTTCTTGGTCTGTAGTTCCACAGAGAGCTGTAGGTAAATCATGTCTTTCTTTTTTTTTTTTATCAGTTGTGGAGCCTGAACTCTGGGCCTGGGCACTGTCCTTCAGCTCTTCAGCTCAAGGCTAATGTTCTACCACTTGTGCCACTTCTGGCTTTTTCTGCTTATGTGGTACTGAGGAATCAAACCCAGGGCCTCATGCATGCAAGGCAAGCACTCTACCACTGAGCTACCTTCCCAGTCCCAAATCATGCCTTTTTTAAGCCTAAGGTTCAGGTGTTGGAGTCCCCATCCTGTCTCTGCTCCAGATGTAGGCATTGGCTTTTCCGTCTTCAAATCTCATGTCTTCTCTCTGTAAAACTGGCAACAGTGGCCCAGATGGCCTTGGATGACTCCTCTAGTAAGATTTCCCAGGCCATTCCTAACTGG